CCAAAAATGGGTGGATGAATGGATCGCCTCGAAAGACACCGCGTTCTACCATCGTGGGATTGCCCTGTTGCCGGAGAGATGGGAAAAAGTAGTAGAAAGTGGAGGAAATTATTTTGATTAAGGTATTCATTCATCTTCCTTTCGAAACAAATCGATTTTTGAGTCGAAAAAACGATAGGAATTAAGTTTAACACCTAATATAATAATTTTCTACATCCAAAATCTCTACGTTTTGCCAATCAAAATCATGATCGTTTGCAACTTATGTTCTGTGATCACTGAATGAGTGGGTGTTTTACTATGGATATGCTTTTTGTGTTCAGAAATTCTGGTTTTTAATTTTTTCCCTGTTTGTCCCACATAGGAAGCATCGCAATCACGACAATTGATCTTGTAGACTACATTCCTTTTTAATTCATTGTTTAAAGAATCCTTATGAACTTTGATAAACTGATTCAACTTGTTCAAACTAGAAAATGAAACCCTGTGGTAAACCTCATTAATTGCATTCTTGAATTTATTCGATATCTCTTCCAAATATGGTATGGAAAACCATTTAACGCGTTCTTTAGGTAAATTGTTATTTATTTTTTTAGCTAAACAAGAATTCAATTTATTTATTAATGTTTTAACTCTTTCATTAATAGTATCGAATATAAAATTTAATGGATAATCGTTTTCCAAAAGTATCCTAACAATAAATTCAAGATTCTTTTTGTAAAATTGTGGATGTGAGATATAAAAAACTTTATCTACCAGATTGAAAATTATGCCCTTCTTTTGCGAGATTGGATGTTGAGACAAAAAGTTCAAAAATCTTCCCGAAAATGTTGGTTTTTGATACCAGTCAAATATTAATGATGATCACGAGTAACTTAGGCCGAGCAGGCAGATGGCGCTCGGGCAGATGTGGTATGGGCGAGAGTCTAGCGTTACCCGCCATTATTACTGTATACTATAAGGAAAAACCTCTCGAAGCATCACGCTGATATCATTCATATTTTGTATCAATCCAGGAAGCATGTATTCATTCAGTTTATTACACACACATGTACATAAGAAAGAATAAAGCACGTCATTCAAGCACAAACAGCTATCATTACTTGTTGGTAAAAAGTCACTTTGTATTACACACTTTTTTCATGACCATCACGTTTGCAAAATAACCTTGGATGGAATGAATTGAATTTTTCAAGAATAACGTCAATTTTAGAATTCGATAAACAAAGAACGATTTCGTCTACAAATCTATAATAGAATGGTATATGATATTGAATATTGCTCAACACCCAATTCTCCAAATCCATCATAACTAAGTTAGCAACAATCGGAGAAAGCGGTGAACCCATAGGCGTTTCAAAAGTTTGTTTGTAAAATTGATTGTCAAACGTGAAAAAAGTTGAATCCAACACTAGGCGAACAGCTTAGATAAATTCATTTTTCAGTAAATTACAATTCTTGCAAATAATGTCCCATCTATTGGAAAGAGCGTCTATTGCTAAATCCGTTGGAGTGTTAGTGTAGAGTGATATTACTTATTATTAGTGGTAATTATGCATTATAACGGACCACCCTCCGATGACCTTGACCTTGACACATGTTGTCAAGGTCGTGACCCTGAGTGACCTCCAACAAGTTTTAACCGTCGCTCGCCATTCGTTGAAAAGTTATTAACAGTTAAAGTAGTAATCATTTCACTGCTTTTCATGAAAAAAGTCAGATAACTCTGAGCGGTGAGAGAGGTATGGTGAACTAATTAAGAGAATATGACTCTCACCTTCGACTCTCACCACCCCCCCAACCCCTGCAAAAGAGCGCCCGACTCTCA